TAAATACCGCTTCAAACATGAGAGGTCTGAATTAGTCACTTCTTGAGAAAGCTTTGCAGAGGGAGAAACTTCTCACTGATTAATTTTAACATTTGTTCTACAAGCATTCAAGTTGTAATTAGTATTTTAAAATTTTACTTACATTTTTTTTATATTAATATACACCTTTTAAAAAAATTTTTTTTTTTATAATTCTTTATTTTTGTAGTGCAGAGAGAAGCGTACAAGCATATAAAGACATATGAGCATATATAGAAACTGACCATAATGCTTTTCAGACTATGTCATACAGGAATGTTGCACTTTTTATTTTTACTTCTTAAAATATGCTGAATAAACCAGTTAAACATTGTGTCCTATGGTATGAAGGTTATGAAACTAGATGCTTGCATTGACAGTGAAGTACCAAGGACAGAGAGAGTAAAAGTGCACAAGCGTAATGCATGTTTGCAGGCTTATTGTATGAAGAATACTTGTGCCCACCAAGGAGGCCCTGCCATGGTCTAGTTAGCTAGTTGAACACCAAGAGACATATAAACTTAAACAGTAAAACTGTGGAAACTGTTGAAAACGATAAAGAAATTAGTTGGTGTTTTGCTACAGGGAAAGCTAGTACAAGCGTGCCCTTAAAAGATCACTATAGGGTCAGGAAACAAACATGTATTCCTGACCCTATAGTGTTAACACCACCATCTAGCCCCCCTGGGCCTCTAATGCCTCCATAAATATAGTAAAAATCTTACTGTATTCAAGCCTGAAGCTGTAAATCTGCATGCTGTTAGACTCAGAAAAACAAGCAGTCTGCTGACATGTGGTAGCTTGATCCAATCACAGTGCTTCCCCATAGGATTGGCTGAGACTGACAAGGAGGCAGATCAGGGGCAGAGCCAGCATGATACAAACACAGCCCTGGCCAATAAGCATCTCCTCATAGAGATGAATTGAATCAATGAATCTCTATGAGGAAAGTTCAGTGTCTGCATGCAGAGGGAGGAGATACTGAATCACAGGATGCTGTGCACAGTGCTGCCCTGTGCTCTGCTGACAGCAGATCTGAGTGGATGGAGGCATATTATGCCTCCATCAACTCCAAAGTCCCTCTGGTTCACTCTGAGTGACCTCAACTGGAGGTGTTCCTAGCTTTCAATTTAAACACTGTATTTTTTCAGAAAATACAGTGTTTACGTGAGAAAGGCTGCAGGGAGCTATAGTTCTCACCTGAACAACCTCATTAAGCTGAAGTTGTTCAGGTGACTATAGTGTCCCTTTAAGTCAGTCTATTCCCTCCATTGAAGGGGTACCCCTTTCCCCTCTTGACCAAGCAGACAGGCTAGTGAGTTGTGACCCCACAGGGTTGTGTGGAGTGCCTAGTGGCTGCCTTAAAAGGCCCTCCGATATTACAGGCATCTGATCCAGTCCTATATAATGTCCCCGAGGATCCTGGTTGGAAGGTTGTCTGGATGTAGCCTTGTCTATCTGTGGGGATGCTTGGTTCCACCACCATTGCTGGGCCCCTTTGAGGGCTGTAATTGCTGGCCCCTCCAACACCGCACTCCGCATCTGCTGAGGCAATCCACCTGTCGTCTCTTGCTGAGGGCTGGGAATGGGATTGTGCAGCTGTCTCCAGAAGTTGGCAGAGATGAAATGCAGGTCAGTGAGGGTTTGCGCGCCATTGAGGACCGAGGAGCACATGGCAGCTGCCATTACAGTGTCACTCAGGCTCTCAGGAAGATCAACCCTTGTCAGCAGATAGATTCGCAATAAGGCCCCCTTGATGTGGACCGGGATGACCCCTGCCAACCCAGAGGATTCTGTGAGGTTCCAGACCTTGGTGGATTGGGAGAGCTGCTGCCTCTCCCGCCCAATGTTTTCGCTAGGCCCCACTAAATCCACCGCAGTGTACAACAGCAGGTACAGTGTCCCTTCGCTCCAGAGTATACTACCCAGGACAGGAGAGAGGTAAGCTGCTTTTATTAATCAAATATGAGCTCTGGGAGTCGATAAACTTGATTGATTCGAAAGCTGGATGAGGAGCTCTCTCAAAATGCGTCCGGCCACCATGAAGCTCAGGTCCCGCTCCCCAATATATACCTTTTTTAGCTTTTCATTTCTTCCACATTACTAGTACAGTATACTGTGTTTTTTTTTGTGTCATCCTTAAAGGACCACTATAGTGCCAGGAAAACATACTCATTTTCCTGGCACTATAGTGCCCTGAGGATGCCCCCACCCTCAGGGACCCCCTCCCGCCGGGCTGGATGGAGAGGAAGGGGTTAAACCTACCTCTTTCTCCAGCACCGGGTGGGGAGCTCTCCGCCTCCTCTCCTCCTCTTCGGCTGAATGCGCATGCGCAGCAAGAGCTGCGCGCGCATTCAGCCAGTCCATAGGAAAGTATTCACAATGCTTTCCTATGGACGCTGGCGTCTTCTCACTGTGAAAATCACAGTGAGAAGCGCGGAAGCCCTCTAGCGGCTGTCAATGAGACAGCCACTAGAGGCTGGATTAACCCTAATATAAACATAGCAGTTTCTCTGAAACTGCTATGTTTATAAAAAAAAAAGGGTTAAACCTAGCTGGACCTGGCACCCAGACCACTTTATTAAGCTGAAGTGGTCTGGGTGCCTATAGTGGTCCCTTAAGTACACAAAAGGTGATATAATAAAAGTCGTTAAACATAGACAACTAAACAAATGAGTGCACAGACTGTGAATATGTTAATGCTTTAGTGTTATCATACAAAGTCACACAAATGTACACTATTTGTATTTAATAGGCATAACTTTCAGAACATAGTAAAAAGAGGGGTCCGTGCTACTACATACTCTACATAACATACACCGGTGATTTAAAAATACTGCTACCGTGTTTCCCCTAAAATAAACCCTACCCCGAAAATAAGCCCTAGTCGGATTTTCGGGGTGGGCTGCAATATAAGCCCTACCCCGAAAATAAGACCTAGGCATTGTACCTTTGCGGCGAGACTTCCTTCTTCTGCTGTAGGAGGAGCGTCACGCAACGTGATGACGACATTTCGCAGCGCCGTCAGTCTGCCTTCACGGATCTTCAGCGGAAGGATCCATTTCCGGGCGGTGAGGCTCCCAGTGGTCGGACTCGGCAAGGAATCTTTGAAATGTGAGTACCGCTAGATATTTTATGTCTGGGAAATTAATTAAAGGGGGTGGGGGGGTGAATTAATTAAAGGGTGGGCTGGATTAATTAGAGGGGGGTGAATTAATTAAAGGGTGGGCTGGATTAATTAGAGGGGGTGAATTAATTAAGGGGGTGAATTAATTAAAGGGGTGGGCTGGATTAATTAGAGGGGGGTGAATTAATTAAAGGGGTGGACTGGATTAATTAGAGGGGGTGAATTAATTAAAGGGTGGGCTGGATTAATTAGAGGGGGGTGAATTAATTAAAGGGGGTGAATTAATTAAAGGGTGGGCTGGTTAATTAGAGGGGGTGAATTAATTAAAGGGGTGGTGAATTAATTAAAGGGTGGGCTGGTTAATTAGAGGGGGTGAATTAATTAAAGGGGTGGTGAATTAATTAAAGGGGTGGTGAATTAATTAGAGGAGGTGAATTAATTAAAGGGTGGGCTGGATTAATTAGAGGGGGGTGAATTACTTAAAGGGGGTGAATTAATTAAAGGGTGGGCTGGTTAATTAGAGGGGGTGAATTAATTAAAGGGGTGGTGAATTAATTAAAGGGTGGGCTGGTTAATTAGAGGGGGTGAATTAATTAAAGGGTGGGCTGGATTAGAGGGGGTGAATTAATTAAAGGGTGGGCTGGATTAATTAGAGGGGGTGAATTAATTAAAGGGGGGTGGATTAATTAAAGGGGGGGTGGATTAATTAAAGGGGGGTGGATTTATTAAAGGGGGTGGAGAAAAGTTGTTTAAATATTGTTCAATGTACATACCGGTACCGTAAATAAATAAGCCCTACCCTGAAAATAAGCCCTAGTGTGTTTTTTGTGACTAAAATTAATATAAGACCCGGTCTTATTTTCGGAGAAACACGGTAGGGCCAATTTCTAACATATTAAGATTCAAATATTATGTCTATGCAAGTACCTTTTTTGGTATTTGGAGGTGTTTGTACTACTCTTTATATACAATAAGTGTCCCAGTTGTCACTATTAAAACGTGTTAATACATTTTAGTGCTTCTCTATGACTTTGCAAGAGTGCAGATGTTTGTTGTAGCTACTGTTACATTTGCAATATAGTCATGATGATAATTGTACTAATGATGAACACGGGAAGGAGCCTGTTTCTTAATTCTGATCTTTCAGCCATTTAGTAGATGGCCCCCTAATTTAGTAGATGGCCCCCTAATATGTTCGACTGCCATATATAAAGCTACTAAATTAGGGGGCTCCCTACTAAACAGCCAAAAGATCAAAATTAAGAAAAGATTTTCTTCTCCCCATGTCCCATCCTTTTCTCATTCATGTCATACTTCTTCTCCCCATGTCCCTTGCTTTCCTCATTCATGTCATACCTCTTCTCCCCATGTCCCATCCTTTTCTCATTCATGTCATACTTCTTCTCCCATGTCCCTTACTTTTCTCATCCATGTCACTTTTCTCCATGTCCCTTTCTGTCCTCATGCATATCCCCTCTCTTAAAATGATCTTCTTTCTCTATGGATTTCACCATTCCCTAGCAGAATTCCCCCTCCTGGTAGTGTTTCATTGTCCCCTTCTTTAACAGCGCTACCCCTTTTTAGCAGTATCCCCCTTCTCTCAAGAAGAACACAACAACAGAGAGTTCAATTATACAAATTTTAAATAATGATATAAATAGATAAAATTAAGCTTATATTTATTAGTATCTCCAACAAATGCAATACATACACACACAGACTGCTGAATACATACACACAGTCTGCTGAATACACACACACAAGACTGCTGAATACAGAGACTGATGAATACACACACAGTCTGCTGAATACACATACAGACAGACTGCTGAATACATACACACACAGTCCGCTGAATACACACACGCACAGCCCACTGAATACACACACTGCTGAGTACACACAGACTGCTGAATACACGCACACACACAGACTGCTGAATACACACATACTGCATTGAGGGGTGTAGTGTATGTGTTTGTGTGTGGGGTGCTGTGTGTGAGGGGTGGTGTGTGTGTGTATGAGGGGTGCTGTGTGTGTGTGACGGGTGTTGTGTGTGTGTGTGTGTGTGTGTGTATGAGGGGTGCTGTGCTGTGTGGGGGGTAGGGGTGCTGTGTGTGTTGTGGGGGTGCTGTGTGGGGGGGTAGGGCTGCTGTGTGTGGGGGGTAGGGGTGCTGTGTGTGGGGGAGAGGGGTGCTGTGTATGGGGGTAGGGATGCTGTGTGTGGGGAGTGGGGAGGGATGCTGGGTGTGGGGGAGGGGAGGGATGCTGGGTAGGGGAGCAGTGTTGTGTGGGGGGTAAGGGTACTCTTTATGGGGGGGTATGGGGTACTGTGTGGGGGGGTAGGGGTACTGTGGGGAGTAGTGGTGCTGTAGGGGGGTAGGTGTGCTGTGGGGGTGGGGCTGGGGTAAAGGTGTTTTTTTTTTTTTTTAAAGTATGCTAAATCAGTATCCCCCCCTTCTTACCTTTAATGAAGGGGGGACACACAGCCATCCCTGGTGGTCCGGTGGTGGCAAGCGTCTGCTTCCGTGTCGGGAGGCAGGGGGAGGGATCTGTGAAGCAGCTCCCCTGTCCTCCCGCACGATGCTGTGTGGGGCATTGCCATGGTAACGCGCGGCAACGCTCCACACAGCTTGCTCGTGGGAGGATAGGGGAGCTGCTTCACAGATCCCTCCCCCGCCTCCCGACACGGAAGCAGAGTAGGCGCCTGCCGTTTTGGGCAGGCAGGTGCCTACTCTGCATTGATGGCGAACCTATAGCCGCGTGCCCACAGAAAGGGCCCGGCGTGCCACAGGTTCACCATCACTGCACTATACCAACCATACTCCTGACCCTATGCTTACACTAACACTAACCATAGATCAACCTTAATTTTAACCCTATGATTAAGTGCAGATACAAATATGAAACATGCATTTTAGAGGATATTGTCATTGTTAGATTTTGGCTTATTTGCACATAAGGTTTTTGGTTTAAGGCAGGCTGTATGTATTTGCAGTTTTAAATGGAATAATAAATTATATGTTTTAGAAACACAGATAGGAACGGCCATTCGCAGCCCGAAAGAGCCCCAGGACCCCCCACAGACGGGGACTGATGCCTGGTTCGACACATACTACGCCGTGGTCACGGATGACGGGACCACCTTTCCCTCCATACCCCCCTACCCCCCCCCGCCTAACCACCCTCCACCCAGCTCTCCCCTCCTCATCCCCCCTCTCTCTTTCTCTTACTTCTTACTCAATTAACACTCATCTTCTCTCTAAAACTCTTCACCAATGGTTTCATTATAAATTACATGATAAACGTAGCCCACCTTAATCCGAGATTGCCCACAATTGTGTCATTCACTCACGCTTGCACGTCAAAATGGAAACAAACACATTCATCACGCGATTACACAACACGAATAAGACACGTCCCTGAACGACATCTGACCTATGACGACGGACCAATAGACCTTACTACCCCAAAGAGAATGTGGCTCAAGGGTGATAGGGAAATATTAGAGGATCACATAAAACAGACGCAAGGCACAAACTTATGAATATCCCTCTACTCAAGCTGCAATCCGATCACTCATATGTATGTCTTAACGTGTTAAACGCGACCAAATGCCATATAGAAATACTATGTAACATTGTTTGAGTGTTGTCTACACACTTAATGTTGGGACCTGCGAGTCCGTTATATGTTATTTACTTGTTCAATCTATTGATACCTGCTAATGTACAGGGATCAGGGTATACCCTGAAATGCTTATGTTTGAATAAAGCCTTTTTGAACCTAAAATTATATGTTTTATACTTGATCATGTATCCTGGAAGTGCCGATTTTTTTTTTCTATTTTTCTTTCTGGTATAAACACACGCCACAGTATTAAATTGACCACAGGACGCCACATTGAATACTTAAGATTGCACTAGGGGACTTAACCAAGGTGAGCACACTTTTTCTGTGAATTAATTTAACCTTAACCCTACACTATCCCTAATCCTAAAACAGCATTAACACTTACCTAACCCTAATCCTACTGCTAACCATGCCCTACCACTAACTTTAACCTTAACATTAGCCCTAAGCCTAAGCAAAGCCTCTACTAATATCAGCACTGATATCAGGAGATGGGTTTCCTAGTTAAAACTACTTTTTTCCAGTAATACTGAATAAAGCATTATTTCCCAACCAATTAGATAGTGATCAGCCATGGTGTTCTATTGATTTGAAGGGCTGTATGTGGAGCTTAATTTAAGCGCTGCATACAGCTCAGCACTCATCTTAAGCCACTAAAAATGTCCCAGATGACAGAGGGAAGCCCCATGACTCAATTGATACCTATATCTCTCTGGTGTGAGCAGGGATCTAACTAGTCACACTGCATTACAGCAATAGGAATTTGAATTCCTTTTAATTTCCTTTTTAAAGAACGGCATGCAGTGCTCAGTTTGAGGACTGCATACAACGCATCTGTTTGTCTGGGACCACTACAAATGTCACCAAATGACAAAGGGGAGCCTTTCCAGGTTTGAGCAGAGATTTAACCCTGCTTTCACTGCATTACATCCTTTGTGTATTTAATTTCCCTTTTAAAGAGCTGTATGCTGCACTCAATTTGAGCACTGCATACAGCTCATCTGTCAGTCTTGGCCACTAAAAAAAGACACCAGCTGACAGAGGGGAGCTCCAGGTATCGATTGACCTGAGTTTCCCTTTATAAGCAGGGATTTAAACCTGCACACACCAATGCTGCAGGCTATTCTTCTGTGAAGGGCGGCAAAGATTGTCCTAATATTGGTTAAATCTAAGCAAAAAGGCAATTGTTCAATTTCTGTACAAAAACAAAACCTCGAATTTGCATGTGTTCATTCCACTGTAATTCAAGCGTTTCTCTTTTGGTGCACCGATACATATTATATAAATGTGATGAATAAATCAGGGGTAAAACGTTTCTTTTTTTCAAACAGAATATAATGATATATATATAAAAAAAAACAGGAAGGTCAAATCGTTGATGTAATTTTGGAATTCATCATGGGTAATTTCACAAAGGAACAATGAATACAAATAGTGGAATTTCATTTTTAAAATGTCAAGCCCATTATTGTGATGCAAAGAGCTTGCCACACCAATGTAAAAAATGGATCCTCAGTGACTATGATTCGAAAACTAATGCAACGTTTTGAGGAAACTGATTCTTTGATAACCCTTCCACACAATGACAGATCATGGTCGGCTCGCAATAAAGAAGACAGGGGGAGGGGGGCGCCTGAGTTTTGTCCTGCCTAGGGCAGCACAAAACCAGGATACACCACTGGTTCTAGCCAAGAACAAGAATATTCATCTAGACCAATTTCTTTTAATTTGAAGACTAACCTATTGTGAGGAACCATATCAAATGCCTTGGCAAAATCCAAGTAGATCACATCCACTGCAACACCCTGATCTATACTTCTACTTACTTCTTCGTAGAATGCAATTAGGTTAGTTTGACATGACCGATGTTTCATAAAACCATGCTAATTATTGCTAATAACAAAGTTCTTCCCAATGAATTCCTGAATATTATCCCTTAATAGCCCTTCAAATATTTTCCCAGTTACAGAAGTTAAGCTCACATGTCTATAATTTCCAGGCAAGGATTCTGAACCCCTATATTTATAGGAACAATATCTGCCTTCCTCCAATCCTCCGGTACAACACCTGAAACGAAAGAATCTTGAAAAATTAAATACAGAGGTTCACTTATTTCCCCACTTAGCTCCTTAAGTACTCGTGGGTGAATATCTCGATATCTCACAGTTACTGTGAAAGCAAAATTATAATTCGCCTTAAGGATGCTCAGGAAAACCCTAATTCCCTAGAACAGGGTTAGGCAACCTATGGCACTCCAAATGTTTTGGACTACACCTCCCTTAATGCTTTGCCAGCATTATGGATGTAAGAGCATTTTGGGGGATGTAGTCCACAACATCTATAGTGCCAAAGGTTGCCTAACCCTGTTCTAGGGAATTAGGGTTTTCCTGAGCATCCTTAAGGCGAATTATAATTTTGCTTTCACAGTAACTGTAAGATATCGAGATATGATTGAAATTTTTTCATCCTGTAGTGGAAATTCATCCTGAAATGTGGGTTCAACAGGATGGGCTACTGTCCGTACAGCCAGAGCCACAAAGGACCCCATAAGACAACTGTTCAATGGGCGGAAAATTTCAAGAAATTGGCTGCCATGTTCGCCTGACCGTTTAGCTCCCGATTACTTCCTGCTGGCATATCTGAAGGAGCAGGTGTACGTGAACAAACTGCGTACCTGAGAAGGAGAGAATATCAAGGAGAATATCAGTGCAGATATTCGAGCACTAGAACCTCAAACATTAACTAATGTTATGAACAATGCAATTGAAAAAGCCTGACTCTGGGAGACATTTACATTGCAGCACTAAGTGCAAAGGGGACCTCAATTAGCTGAAGTGGTCTGGGTGCCTACAGTGTCCCTTTAATATCAGCTCTAGATATATGTGCTTAGACAGTATGAATATTGCACTAGATTTATATTTTATTGTTTTTTTATTGTTTCATATTATCTCATACTCAATTGTAATTAAGGACATTATTGATGGCGCTGGTTTCCTACATTCCCCTTTTTATTGACTCCTCAAACCCTACTATGAATTTTGGCCCACCTTGTATATACATATATAAAAAAAAAGAGTGCAATAAAGTGTATATTTACTACAAAATGGTTGTATTAATCGTCAGCATTTTGGCCCCTAGAGCCTTTCTCAAGGCCTGGGTCTTTTATTTGTTTTTGTACTTGGTAGCAATGAGTGCCAGACTTTTGGGACATATACGGACCATGTATATATACACCATACTGTATGTAATCACTCCTTTGAGTTAGACTGGACAATGGACAAGGGAATTGCATTGTGTAGGCCATAAAGCAGACAAATGGATAGAATGGTAAACTTCTCAAATTCAACTGGTTTTCCAGCTCTTCTTTTCTGGCCTATTGGTCTTAAATTTGTACTTCCCTTTTTTTTTTAAATGAATTCACCCAACCCACCAGCCTCCCCTCCTTCCTTCCCCTCCCCTCACCGGTTCAGATTGTGCACGTGCGCTCTGATTCGGTGAAATGGTCTAATCACAGGCTTTATTGGACCGCACGAGGTCCATGTGACATCACATGCAAGTGTGGAATCCCAGTCAGACTACCTTACCTGTAAGTGTCCTTGGGCAAGACACCAAACGATATGTATATCTGCCGCTACCAAAGATTTCAAGTTCATATTAGCAGGGCCTTCCTCACATCTTTGTCTAATTGTAAAGTGCTTAGAATATGTTGGTGCTATATAAATAATAAAAATGCAGTCTAGGACATGACACCAAAACCACCTCACACCCAGTTTAAAGGGACATTATAGTCATCAGAACAACTACAGCTTAATGTGAGTATAATAGTTTCCTTCAGGCTTTTTTCATACAAACACTGCCTTTTCAGGGACACCTCCAAGTGACCACTCCTTAGATGGCCACTGGAGGTGCTTCCTGGGTCAGTGCTGCCGGAAAAGCAGCCCTGACGTTCAGCGTCCCTACACACTCTGCATGGAGACGCTGAATTTTCCTCATAGAGATGCATTGATTCAATGCATCTCTATGAGGAGGTCCTGATGGGCAAAAATGGCATTTGGCCTCGCCCCCTAGGGGAAAGCATTGGATTGGCTAAAAATCGTCCATTTTGATGACGTCACAAAGGGGGTAGAGCCAGTGCTGGCGGACCCGCGCAGTGCTGGAAATAAGGTGAGTTTTAAACTTTTATAGGGGAGTTGAAGGGGGGACGGGAAGCCACCTAAATGGTGGGTTAAACACTACAGGGTCAGGAATACATGTTTGTGTTCCTGACCCTATAGTGTTCCTTTAATGTATCCATATAAGGACAAATAATAGTGCATTATATTAACCCACTAGAATCTCCTATCACTCTATTAAAGAAACACTACTGACAACCAGCCATGTGCCCCTCGCTTTATTTCAGCAGTTGGAACCATCTCCGTTCCGCAGGAATGGCTGTATTTATTGCAGGGTTAACCTGCTTCTAGTGACTGTCAATATGAATAGCAGAGTTACACTTTATTTTAGTAAAATGGGGTCTCATTTTGCTGCACTTGGGCACTAGTCTCACAATTCTTTACTATGGGAAAACATTTGGATTGACTCAGATCATCAACACTGATGATCTTTGTCAAAGAGGCGCAGCTTGTGTGAGGAGACAGCGCTGTGAAGGAAAAAAGGTGAGTTAATTACTTCTTTTAATCCTTCAGGCATGGGCCGTTTACCTAAACGGTATTTATTATTATATTTGTATTCCTACCACAATAGTGTTCCTTTATCATGCTCTTGTAACTACGTAATATAGGTATGCCCCTCCTCGTTCCATCCGCTCTGCCCGTGACCACCTCCAGACCACTGCTCGCACCCATACTGCCAACTCGCGCTTGCAGGACTTCTCGTGGGCGGCTCTCTTCCTATGGAATAGCCTGCCTACCCCCGTCAGACTCTCCCCTAGTCTTCAATCCTTTAAGAAGTGCCTTATAACCCATCTCTCTAGGAAAGCTTATGGCCTCCCAGAGTAACCTCTACCTCACATACCTGTCTCTTGCTCTCTCCTAAAGGGCAGCATTTTACTCTCTTCTCCAGCTCAGCTTCACTCCCACCTTATTTGATTGCTATTTCCTGTCCTAATGTGTGTTATACCCCACCTCCTATAGACTGTAAGCTCTTTTGAGCAGGGTCCTCTTCAGCCTATCGTTCCTGTAAGTTTTCTTGTAATTGTCCTATTTATAGTTACATCTCTTATAATATTGTAAAGTGCTATGGAATCTGTTGGCGCTATTTAAATGGCAATAATAATAATAAGAATAATAATATAGTCCTTTTAAATTGTCCCTAAACAATATATTGAGCGTTTACCTACTGTTATGGCTCCTGCACCTGATCACCTGTCACTGAATAAAAGATGCAGCAGAATTTACTGACTCTTATATTGAGGATCAGTTCACTTGTCATCAGGATTAATCAAAATAAAAATGCATACGCAAAAATTGGCAATCCTTGATTGTTCTGAATAAGTTCTATTTTTAAATTCGCAGAAATGCATTGTAAAATGTTAACCAGGACATAGGTGTAAACAAGGGAAATGTCAGTATGTCCTTCCTGGTAGAACAATTTATAAATAAATAAAGCACATGGTCTTCAATGTTAGAAGACAGACAGTGCCACCTGCAGGATGCAGAACACTCTCAATTATTGTAAAAAAAATCCAGATACTGTAAAAGTGAATTAAAAAAGTCAATGAAAAAAAGTCAAATTTTTACCTAGGAAGGAAAAAAGTAATAGGAGAAAAATCACAAATGTAGCTTGGCTTTGAAGAAAAAAGTCACATTAAAAAAAAAGTCACAAAAACTTTGAATAGGAAAGGTCACATTTTAACTATATACTGACACCATAAAGTCACAGGTAAACAATTGAGAGCTTTGCCAAAAAGTCACAGTTTTGCCTGGGGAAAAAAGTCACATTGTAATTACAACATAATGTATATATGGGAGCATTACAGAAATGTAAAAATTAGAAGATTTATTTACTTGTTTTTTTTTATTTTATTTTTAATTTCTTATGCA